AGTCACAGCCACGTTAAACATGAAAAATAAATCTCGGCCATTTGTAAATTCTCAGTAGCGCGGGGAAAATATTTAAAAACACGTCTCGTTCCAGCGCGCGATCGCTAGTCGAGCAAATCTTTCATCCAGGAACTGACCTTATTGGAATTGGAATACAAATTTAGGTGCGTGCTGTCGGTTCAAGGCAAGTAACAAGCAACTCGTACTCATATAAATATTAAAGCGACCACCGATTGTGTGTATTCTCCAATACCCGAATCCATAGTTAATAATAATATAAACTCAAATTTAGTCCGGCTGCACGGCTGCACCTAGCAGTGACATGATTTCGGCCGTTTTCTAAATTTAATAACCACATATATAATCGCCTTAATAGATTGCATTAAGTTGGGACGAATTCTATGAACTGTTTTTCAGCATAATTCCTTGAATTCCTCGACTAATATCATCAAATTTGAATTAGTGCGATCGTTGCTCGATTATAGAAGATATTCGCATACTTTTCGTTTCAAAAATGCGTCTTCGAGGGATTACATTATCTGAAAATTGGAATTCGAATGCGAATAAGTGGTGGATCGTTGTTCGATTCGTTACGGGCTTGAAGGTTGCAAAACTGTTTAGGGATGCAGGCACGCTAAGACCTATCGTAACTGGAGCCCCTAGATTCCGATCACATACCTGCTTAAAAAAGCATCCTCTCGATCAAATGTAAGCAAATACTTTTATGATCACTCAATCGCCATATATTTATAATTTCTTAATATACCAACAAAGCTGTTAAAAATTTCCGTTAATGCATCGTATTTCGTGGCGATCAAGCCGAGCTTGAGTTTTACATAGCAATATACGTTCAAATAATGCCTTCTAAGGGAGTTTTTAGCAAACCAATAGCGAAATTCAAAATATTACTGCGCTCAACAATGCTTTCCTAGTCAGACGCAAGTGGAAACAAATACTGTTAATACAAAATGAATATATGCTTAAAAAAAATATTAAATAAAAACTGCAAAACTAATTTGGTTTTTCGAATATTTTACTCATAATTAACAATTTGGAATAAAAAACACATTTGAGATAAGGTTTGAAATAGATACACTTGTTAGATCCTCTCTCTAACGCAATTTACAAAATACTCTTTAATCATTTCCGATTTCATAAGATCTAATTATCTTACACCGAGTCTGTTATTTCAAGCCTGAAGATAGCAAAAACAGAATAGCGAGGGAGAAAGTTTACGCCATTCATACTTGTATATTTATACATTATAGGCTAATATTTAAGGGTCAACTTTCAAGTTTTGCTGGCATTGGCAACACACATACAATAAAGCAAACGTAAGATCTTAAAACGGTTAGGTGGACAATACTGGGTTTACCTCCGCTATTCGATCGGCATCAGTAACGAAACAAGTCGTTTTCATTTTAATCAAAATCTCCGTAAAGAGAGTTTTATATACGTTTTCGACCCACTATGATATTATCTGCCTATATGGCAAATGGCCTACCTGAGAATTTAGCTGGTCTTCTTACACTTTTCTTAGCAAAATGCAAAGGAAATTTTTGAAAACGTATTTAAACGGAAGCCGAAACGGAAATACAATACTCAAAGATTACTGGTCAGTGGGTACAAACGTCAGAGTAAGAACAAGATTTTGAGTATAGACTTTTATATATCATATTTTTATTTTTATTCTACTTTTTATTATTTTCATTTTCTAAATTTTATTTTTATATTTATTGTCTGACATCGGACATGTCGCATTCGTTGAATCAAACGATAAGTAAATGTGAACGCCGCCAGCAAATATTAACAAAATGGGCAGAAGTGCGTCTAGATGTCAAGTAATACTTTCCGAGCGATCTGTTAAGTGATTGGTGAACCAAATGGACCAAGTGGGGAACACTGTCAGACGCTCTCGACAATTCCGTACAAATCATATCGGTGTGTTTACGTTGTCAAAAAGTTTGAGGTATACTTCAAGTCAGTTCTAGAAGATGATTAGCATCTGCTTATCCTTTCTGTAAGTTAGTTCTGGAAGATTAGCATCCGGTAATCTTGCTCTAAACAAATCGTGCTGGTAGAGCGATATTCTCATTGGAGTGAAGTCGTTAAGTAAAAGCGAGATGCAGAGTTTCGAAGCAATAATTGCAAAACATAGGACAATAATTGGGAACGCACCGGCGACTTCATCTATCAATATAAAAGAAGAGTATCAGCTAAAAAGAGGGGTTTGAATAAAGCTTTAGGTTAGTGAACGGGTGAAACCAAAATATTACACACATAAAATGGCAACTGCCTGCTGCGCATGAGCCACGAGTTAGTTATGTAAAAATAGAGGTCAATGTGATCTTAACTTCAAAATAATAAAATCTATTTCCAATGCTGCAAATATTAACATCCAATGCGAATGCCAACAGCTTAGCCTTGAGTTTTTATGCAGGCTGGACGAAATTTAGAGCAGCTAGTTTAGACAACGCTAAATATCGTAAGAAATCACCTGATTTAATGTGTGATTGCATTTACCGAAAGACGAATGACGTTAGGTATTGCAAACATTTACGGTCTGATAGCCACTTCACTCGTGAAGGAGCATTTGCGGCAATAGTTAACTCAACTTCCGAGCAGTGCGATTAAAACGGACCATTTACATTTGTATCAGCCTACAAATATCGTGATGGGATCACGTTCACGTTGGAACGCCTTGATAATGCATCAAATATTGACCACGCAAAGAGTTGCGTTTCAAATAGTTTTCTTATCACCTTTATTAAATATATATAGAAATAATTTTTCTTAACAAAGAAGAACTAGTTCTTAACGTATTTTTAATTTTATAGGTTAAGTTAAATAAAATCTCTATCGCGCTTGAGATTTGAATCTGCGAAAAATGACAGGATAGTAGCGATTTTTACTCAGTCCGCTGCCAAAAGGTCCAGTTATTGAGAGAGGCGTGTAACGGATAAATTTGGATCATCAGATAGCATTAATTTTTACACCCTATATCACTTGTGGTGGCTATTATATATGTTAAGTTTGAATGGATCTATGCAAAATCTAGAAAAACTTGAGATAGACCCACCACTTATTACAGCAGTCAATTCAGAATGATTTTTTGAGTTCCGTGTGCCTAGTGTTCATGCATTTTTGTGATCAGCAAGCATTTGGTGCATTTTTTCTTGATGACAATTGGTAACGATTCGATGGGGAGGAATACCATTTCTTTATCATCTGGATGCCTACCTTTAACGAAAGATTGAAGCAACGGTTTTTTGTTTCCATTGCTTGCACGCTTAACCTATATTGCTGCAGTAGGCGCTCAAAGATTTTACTGGGACTTTTTCTCCGAATCGAAAGCGTATATCATTCGTAGCATTGTCGTAAACGTTGTTGCAATCGCTTTTGTTAATTTCTCATACCATATGACACGATCGTTCTTCAGAATATGTGCTCAATTAAGCAGTGCTTCTCAAGCAAATCTTTTTTACAAGAAAATTACGATGTGACGGAATTTTTCAATTACCAATGTCTAGGGAATGCTCATTCAGTTATCCTTTTGCCTATCCATACGCGATGATTATTAGGCTGAGTTAAGTTCAATGTTATTTTTTATGCTAAGTTCATATTGATTTTGCGGTCGTTACGCAACTGTCGATTATCCGTTAAAATCGCATCTTCAAGGCATCCAATGGTGAATCGAAAGCACCTTTAAGTTGGGACCAGTTGTCGCTTATAACCGCGTTATTCTCTTCACACCTTAAAACCACCGTTTAAGTTGACGTGACGTAGTAAGAATGAAATGATGAATGCGTCAGAAAATGATTGCTTTATTTGCAAATGCATGTTATTTTCACCGTTGACTGAATTTCGTTTGATTGATAAAGAAAACTCAATATTAGGACTTTTTTTTATTTTTTTTTTGTAAATTTTTATTTTCTAAAATTTTTTATTATTAATATTCTGCTTAAATATCAAAAATTCATGATTGTAAAATAATCAATGGATTGCGTTCGAAGGCGGTTGTTATGCAATTGAAAGCCCTCTGTTTTCATACTTATATACAAAAAATCTAAAATAGAAAAGTGTTAAAATTAAGTAAAAAAAAAAAAAAAAAGCGCTTATTCTCTTTTAAGGAAATTGAAATTTAGCTAAATAAATGCGTTCATTAGGCTTATAAATTATATTGGTTTTATTTTCCATTTTTAAAATTTCTTACTTCTTTTTTCTTTTGCATAAAAAAAAAAATAAAAAAAAATAATAATAATAATAAAAAACAAAAAAATATAATGTGTGTATTAAATGCTTTTAAAATTATTTTAGATTATACAAATTAATCGACATGATTTTGTTATTAATTTATTTATTTATTTTTTTTTTTTTAAATAAATAAAAGTAATTTTGAGAAAAAGCGCATTAAATAAACCGGTCTCTATGGAAGTTTAAAAATTTCAACACATTTTTCATATATTTTATTTTTATTTTAGGGAAATTTATAAACTTCATAGAAAGTGGTTGTGAAGGTAAGTAATTATTAAAGGAGAATAGCTTCAGTTATGTATGTCAAGCTTTTAAAGCTTCCTTTTCAAGTAGATAAAGCATCAAAAGATTCTCCTTTTTGTTTAGTCAGGGACAATAAAGTTCCTAAAAATTATGAATTATGCTTAAAACGTAGTAAAACCTAAGTTAAGTAAAAACTTTAATAATTATCAGTTGAATATATTAAAAAAAAAAAAAAAAAAAAAAAAAATTGCCATAACTCTCTTCATAGGTAGTCGTCGTCTTTGCTGGGCAAATATTTAAAGTATGTGTATTTTATTTGTTCGTGGTTAGATTAAATTAAGTAAAACTTTAGGTTGTTTAATCAACCTATGTACACCTGTGTACCTTCGAGCGTGTGTTCGATTTAAGTATGTTTGTGTTTAATATAAATGAGGGGCTATATAGAGGAGAGGATTGAGTAAAGATGTGTGTAGAGTGAGGAAAATAAGAAAAAAAAAAAAAAAAAAAAAGAAAAGAATCTTATGCTGCAATTTTATGCGGTTGCAACCATTTCTTCATGTAATAAATGAACAGGGTTGAAATGTATAATAGAATCATAAGGGCACACGTTACGGCCAGAGCTAAAACTGAAGTCTTGGTGGGACAAGGCTCGATAATGGTGACAGTCTTATCTATATTGTTCAGGAAGGAAAAATAAAAAAAAATAAAAATCAAACAAATAAAAATTCTGTGCTGAGTTTAGAACATCAGCGGACAAACCTTTAGCAAAGTCAGTACTGGGATCGGCTTTGAAAAATTCTCGTTTCTCGTCCCCGAAATCCAGGACCAATATCTCCTGTGATATGTTCATATCCTCATCGGCTTCCTTGGTATCATTTCTAAAAAAAATAATTACAGAACATAATCCAAGGTATTAAAGATTTTGATTAATTTTTTTGTTTTTGTATCCCTCAGATAAAATGTGTTATTATCAGTATAATAATATAAAATTTAGGTTAGGCAAGAAATAAATCTAAACGATACACCTTGTAGTTCATTATTTTATAAAAACTTTTAATATAAAGATATTTTCCAGAAAGTTGACAACTACTATTGACATAAGATGGTTTGTCGTTGGGACCTAGTCAAGAGACTAGAGTAAACTGACTTATTAAAAATATCCTACATTGAACGAGTAACCAAGCCAGGGGTACTTAGAAAAATTTGCTCAAAATCGTATAGTACTAGCAAGCATTAAACATAGGAAAACATCGTATTTGGCTCATATAATATAAACAAAATTCGAGAAAATCGTTGTATACGCAGAAAATAAGCATCAGGGTTACGCAATATGCGTTAAAGGACCAATATAAGTAATAACCACAAGAGATAGAGCCGTGGTTTCTTCAATCGTTAGAAATCTAGAATAGGAAAGCTTAATAGACTTATAGTTTTAAACTTTAAAAAAGAAAAAAAATATATATTGAGTTGTTACGGTTTGAGGGCGACATTCTGGGAAAAGTCGGGTCAGACCAATTTGATTGTTTCAATTGTTTGCAAATGTTTAACGGATTTGAAAATCCGAAAGAGAAACTCACCCTTCAACCGAACGGCGGCGACGTCTTCTACCCAAAGATTCAAATGATTCCATATTCCACTCGCAGACAGCCGGCTCGCAAGGACCCAAGCAATACTTGACGTTACACTGAAAAATGACTCCGTAGCTTTCGGTGAAACGAAAAGCTTCATAGGTAGACTGTAGGGCATTGCCGTCAGCAGTAAAACCGGGGAATATAGTGGGATCGGTGGGACAGCCGTCATCGTCAATAATTTTGAAGCTAGTGCGTGCGTCTTTAGCCATAGCCACACAAGAGCGAGCAAAAATGCCATAAGGAGCTTTAAAATAAACAAGAAAGGAAAAAATAAAGTGAAATTTGAATAAATGAAAAATTCGATTAATCTCAGTTTGCTTTCGGTAACGTACTATCCTCCGGTATTTCAATTCGGAAATTCAAGCGATCACCAATGCGAACTGTCTCCACTTCACGTTGTCTAGTATCTAAAATGCGTATTCTCGGTGGCGGTGCTTCGGGCGATGAGTTGATATGTATCATTTCGGGGTCACGTATCGGCATCATGCCGAACGTAATATTCTTCGAACTCATATCGTAAGTACATTTTACTTTATAGATTTTATCCGCTTTGGTCATAACTACGCTGTGATGTTGTAATACTACCGTATTCGAATAGACACCGGTCTGGGATTGGGAAAAAAAATGAAAGAAGAGTTTTATGAAATTTTTTTATTCACTTTAATGGTTTTTAAAAACACCTCACCACACTTTGTGTATTGCAATCCTGACCGGCCATAGTTAAATCTAAACGGAATGAATCCGAATTGATGACGTCGATATTACAGGTTTCGGAACGCCCCAATGCATAAATTCGACCATTGAATGGCTTATTAGTTCGCACCTGAACAGCAATACGTGTGTCCTTACAATGCACGGAAACTAAAGTATTAAAGGAAACAAAAAGATATCTATATAAAATCTTGAGAATGAAAAACAGGAAGAGTTTTAAAATCGCTATTATGGTTCCAATTGATTGAAGGAAGGATGATGCGGTATTTCCGAGTTTGAGGTTGAGAACATGGTTTTCAAGATACAGACTAACGGCTGGATAGACGCTAGTTGTAAAATCAGCTCTTATTGACGAAAAAATATAGATAGTTTTATGCGGGTTCAAAGCTCGTTGTTCCAGGCAACAGTTGTAATCTCTACCGAATGGCAGACGGCCAAATAAACCTGAGTAAACCATTTCCATTCTTTACGGCGATAAGAAAAATATATAGTTTTATGAGATCTCAAATTATGATAAAAAAAGTTTGAATTGATTCCTCTACGCACGCTGATCATCCATACGTATATACTTCAAGGTGGTCTCAAAGTATTGAAGAGAAAAGCTTTGAGGTTCTGAAGTCGATGTCACTCTGCTTAAAAATCTTTATAGTTTTGCTTCGTCTCTGATCTTTATTTGATAAATTTAACGTTCACGCCTTTGTATGTATTAAAATAATCAATTAATTGGGTTGCGGGAGTATGCAGTCCTTATTTTAGTTGTATGTTCTTAATACTATAGGGGCTCAAATGTAATTTTAGTTAAACATAAGATGAAGAGACAACAATGACAACAATAAACCGCTTAACTCCTTCCAAATCCTTCCAAATATATGATAAGTCAAGAAATGCAGGCAGAGTAAGAAAGTTTAGATGCAAAGTCTTGCGAAATGTGGCAGAGAATAAAAGGTCATAATTAAAAAGCAAAAATTGGAAAACTTCTTTCACCTTTTTATACTTACCATCATAGCAGGTGCCAGTCTTATCACAATTGACATCATTTCGTGTTATATTTAGGGTAGGATCTTCTGTCGCATCGAAGCTGATCGGTAAAGTATCCAGTTTATCCATGGCTGAGGTATTAAGACCAGTACCGCTGCTCGTTGATTTATCGCAAACATTTTCAAAGTATTGACCTATCGGTTCCCCGTGATCGATTAAAGGTCTTTCATGATTTAAATATGTCGATGGACCATCTGGTAATGTCTTATGATCCAAATGATATAAGCGACAATTGTATTGCGAGCCTTGCGGTTGACCCAGATATAAAAACGAACGACACAAGAATTCGCTTTCAATTTCACAAGCTAAGCGACAAGCTGACTCAGACGTCACTTGTAGCTCTTTGTCGGTGTAATAGTGCAAACCAACAAATTGTGCCACTTTCTCCTCTGAAACGCCTACGCGAGCATTAGCAAAATTGCGTGTGGCTTTGCAGGCTTGTTGTGGCTTTAAGCAAAGATTCTCAAAATAATCGGTGCCTTGAGCTTCGACCAATTGGACAAATTGCCCACCACTACGACGATCACTGTCTGATAGGACACATTTCATGCTGTTGTAATCGTATTCTACGGAACGACAAACGAATCTTTTCTCATTAAGACAGGCGGATAGACAAGCTTCTTTCGTACTCGTGTAGATAAGAGCATTGTCGCTTCCTCTGATTACCTTATTGGGTACTCGTTCAAACGACCAGGGACGATGGCAGACATTTTCACTGCGCAATTGCAGTTTAACCATATAATACATGTTCGCTGAACGTTGAGGAGCCGCAGATGGATTATGAGCAGACGAATCATTTTGCAGCTGACACTGAGTCTCTTGTGTCGGCGAGAGAGGATTCACCACGAAACTAAAGGCAGCCGCTTGACAATCGGCCTCCTCACGACACCAACCCTGACACTCATACAATGATAGATTTTTCACACTGTAATACGTAGTGCCGGCAAAATCATAATCTGTTAGCTTTTCAAAAGCCATACGACCCCAAACATTATGAGGCAGTAGAATACAAATAGTGCACGACGCTATAAGTAAATGGATAATAATGCTGGATGACATATTGCTAAAGCTTAAAGAGGACAGCGAAAGAAATCGGAGCTGGAAAAAAAGAATATAAAAAACCAATAAATACATATATTGTATGAGAGTGCTTTAAAGGTGGCATGCTACGAAAGCGTAAGCGTTCTATTTTATAACTGTATTTTATTATATACGTAGAGTTCCACAAACACATATGTCAGACACTTAATAAAATATATCTAAAGAATAACATCCAATAACTTTATAAAAAGGTATACTAAATACCAATTGTAAGGGCACGGCATTAATGTTCAGATTTTTCCTAAATGAAGGCAAATCTGCGAGATCTAACTGTAGAAGTACCCGGTTAGACAAAGGAGGAATAAATGTCTTTATTTCTTTTTAGCTCGAGATATCTTTCCCAGCAAAATGCTCCACGACACCGTACTACTAATAGAGAGAATCATCAACGTTCTCAAATTAGCCGTCAAACGCGAATACTTTTTTCACTCAGCCACATTTTTACGTCGCTTAAGAAAGGAAAATATATATTAATATTTTTTTGTTGGCGAAAGTTTGACATGAAATTATTTAAAATAATAATAAAATGGGAAATTTTTATTTATTTATTTTTTTTTTTTTTATTTAGCAATCTACGGCATTATAACATTATATATTATGATAGGTTTGATCATTGGCTTGAATGAAAGCACCGCCCACTGACGAGATCATTTTTAAAGAAATCGTTTTTAAGTTAATTTCAAATAAATCGCTTGAAGAAGAAGTAAATAAAGAAAATAAAAAAATGAAAACCGGAAGTCGATCCATAGATTTGTTGATGCTGAAGATGTTACCTCAAGGTTATGCTTAAGTAAAATATCTAGATTCAATAAAATACCGAAAGTCTTTCTCTTTTATTAAGTATTATAGCAGCGTTCAAGTTGCGGTTCTTTAAAGCGTAGTTTTCTTTCTTTGCTTTCCATTTGCTCTCTGGATGCATGCATACTTACAAACATGCATATATACGATTATAAAAACGTGATTATTATGTGCATTTAAACTACGTTGATTTGCTTTGATTTGTTGTTGGACTTGTTGTTATGCTGTTTGCAAGGAAGCAAAAACAGTTTCTTTTTTTTTTTTTTTGTATTTTTCATTTTTTATTTTATTTTCTATTTTAACATTTTTAGATTTGACTTTTTTTTTTTTGTTTTTGTTTTTCGAAAGTATTTCTTTGGCAATTTTACTGATTTTCAAACTGATATGTTTTAACTAAACATACATTATCGTGACCAGCATGTGGTAGAGTTACTGGTTTCAAAACATAGGTATATATGTATATACGTTTGCATTGTGTGAATATATATATATACATATATATATATGTGTGTGTGTGTGCTTTTTTTCTTTTCTCTAACTGAAGAACATTCCTTTCTTCACACATGAGCTTTTACATATCAGATTAAATGAATGTGCATGTGTATGTGTGTGTGTGTATTCAGGTAAGTTTTTATATGTGTACGAGTTTAAAATTTTTTAAATAAATCTCTAAATAATCGATTAATGGGTTCTTTGATATTCTCCCCATTCTTCTTCTTTACCCCATTATGCCTATGAATTGTGACTTATCTATGGCTGGCTGTCTTGCCTCTCAGTTAGGCTAAAAGGTGTGGTGGTGGTTAAGTTAAGCGCAGCTTCAATAACTTTACTTGGCTTAATGTATATTTAGATAGTATTTAAACGGACACAATACGGCAGTAAATGTGTTTACAAGCTTGCTGTCAGATAATTGTTGTTGTTGTTGTTGCTGTTGCTGTTGTTTTGTTAGAGTAAGTGATTTTCTTAAATTGCATTTAATTTGAACACATGTTCATGAAATGAAGAAAAAAAAAATATATGCATATAACAATAACATTTAGTTAAAATTATAAAAATTAAAAACATTTAAGACAACATATGTATATACATATATATAGAAATATACAAATAAATAATATTTAGATCGCTAAAGTAAGCTAAGTAAAAATGCTCGTTACTTGGGAATGGTCGAAGGATACATTTAACTAAATGTAACTGCCTTCTTGCCTGGTGAAGTCTTGATTATAACTTCCACCCTCTATTTGGACCAATGAACATTGAACATTGAATTTATTCTTATGAACTCTACTCTTTCCAATTTTCGTCAAATTAAATCCAAAAATCGATAAAAGGGATTCAAGCGCGCGCGTGCATCTATTTGTTTATTGAATAGGTTTGCCTGCATACGCCGAGGCCCACCAAACATTTTTAGAAGCATATGCTCCATCATATCCCAATTGTGGATTTTAGTTTCAATGGTTTAAAATTTGGCGATTTTGCCGCCAGTGACAAGAAACGCCTTCGAATACCAAAAAAAACTTCGTAGACAATATATTGTGAGACTCACTGAATGAATATATATTGTACCGATTTTTTTTAATAAATGCTTTTTTCAAGTGGAATACATGCAAGCGCCTTATATATATAAAAACAGATAAAAGTATTATAATCCACCATGATTACATACCCTACATCACTTCACTTAATGCAGTTATTCAAACAATGGCTTTTCAAAATAAGGTGTTAAGTAGTGCGATCGGAAGCGTTTTCAACAGTATTTGTCTTTGTACCAAGACAATATCATGTATGAAATTTCATCAATATTTAAAAAATTTATTTTGCAACGTGTAGATTGAACACAAAAATACATGGATACAGATTAGATGGACAGACGGAGAGACGACCAGATAAGCTTAGATTAGTTTAGCGAAAGTGATTCTGTATCGGTCGATATAATAAAAGGCGGGCCCGTCTCGAGCGTTTCAGTGTGTGTGTTGTATACATCAAGGAGAGCCAAATTAAGTTTAAAAATTGTCCAAATTGGCTGATATCCATTTACCAGTCTGTCTGTTTAAATTAGCTGTCTGTCGAAATATAGCAATTAAGTATCAGCCGTGGATATCTGTCTTCACTTTAATTGCTTCCATTTTTTATTGGAGAAGTCACTCAAGTTACACTTTGGCCATGAGAAGATTGGCCATTGGTAGAGGAAAGAGGGGAGCTTCAGACATTTTCTTTTCATTCGATTAGCACTAAAACGATTGAAAACGATTGATTAAATTGTCATATGCGGTGTTGGCGAGCGATGTTATGGCTGATAACCGACCGGTACATGGATAGGTAGATATTGGTAAGTCATTCCGTAAGCTGAACCAGGGTAACCAGGTATATGCATGATAAATCGGGTCCACGACAACTAATTTTTGCCGCTACTAACGAAAGAGCAAATCTAGTGTAACTTTCTTCTGCGTTCTAAGGCATATAAGGATTTGTTTAACAAAGTTACGGCAGCATTTAATTTCAGCATTTACCAACAACCTTGTGCTCTTAAGCGTAATTCTAAGAACACGTGTTTTATTTTCATTCGTTTTCGTTAGGAAAATTTGATATATTTTGATGTGATCGTGGAATTATTATATAAAACCATATTGCTAGTTGGATAAACTTCTAATACAACACATTCTTGTGGCGCCTTCCATTGGTGGCTCACTGAGTTAGAAAAGTACATCCTTTAACGATGTATTATCAAACGTATATACGCGAAGGCGACCTGTAAGTTGTTGTAAATTACATTGTGTTTGTTGCATAACAATAGCCTAAAAATACTTCGATTCCCGGCAAACTGATTTTGGTCATAAACGTGTATTTATTTCGATAATTTTATTTCTTAAATATTTTTTCTGCGATTATTTCGTATTTTATGGTTTTGTCGTTATCATCATGAGTGCTTTAATTATCATCATCATCATCATCATCATCATTATCATCATCATTATTATCATCATCGAAATTATTATTTTCTTGCGTAGAATTTATGAATGCCTCACTTTGTTGTTAAACTAAACTTAGGCCACTAACTAATAATCAAGTCAAGGCGTCCTTGCCTTAGATGTATAGAAAATAAAATTAAAGCAATGATTACATAACAACAACAAGAACAGCAAGAACAATAAGAAAAAGCAACCGATGTTATGCATTTCCTAGTTTATAACCTGAACTCGAGCTCTATAAATATTCTAAAAAGGCCTCAACGGTCGCACAAAGCACAATATCTTGCATTTTGTTGTAAGTAGTAATTCTAAACCTCATTCTGAACATCAACAACAGCAACAGCAACAGCAACAACAACAACAACAACAACAACGACAATAACATTAACTATATTATCAGCTGAACTCGAGCTCTATAAATATTCTAAAA